GATCACCTAAGGGATCGTGCTAAAATCTGATCTCTGCATTAACTGCGATTTGTATCGCATTTTAATACACTTTTCTACGATCGTATGATGATGTAACGTTCATGTCCATGCATTTCGATTACAATGAATATGCATTTAATCCATCGACTTGCATATTTGTTTGATTTTGAACCCTGCACATGATGTTCAAATAGCATAAGCGGCCTTAGATCTAGGGTAAGTAGCCTTGAATTGAGAAGATATTTTCTATTATACGCGTCACGAGCGAACTGGTAACATTATGTGCTTTTCTACTTGGTTCTTTGATTTGTCCCTTCAGCGTGTATTTCACTTTGTTCTATTTGTTCTATCTACTTTAAGCAATTACCGCATATATCCCCTAGGATAAGATTGGTCTGTCAAGTTCAATACACACACATACTATTGATTGATATTGATTTTTGTGATGTATTGTTTTTTAGTGAGTAGAAGAATGCGATTATTTGTTGTACATATTCTTCACTTCTACTTTCTAAAAGCAAACACTTGGACTAAAGTGCTAGCGAAATACGACCCATTTGTTGTTGAGAATCTACAGTAAGCTCAACTACTTAAGTATGGTCTGAATATGGTCATCATAAATCTAATAAATTTCTGTGAATGATTTATGCAAGCAAATAAACTCTCACACAGCAAATATATCTTTTTGAGCGGGGAAAAAGAGAAGGCGAGCAGTATTTGTGACCAAGAAACACAAATTACGACGCAATAAGAGAAGGAGAGCAATAAGCAGTTATTATGAGAGTTTAGAGAGCATCCGCGAATCCATAGTTCTAGTAGGAGAGAAAAGGCAAATCGACCGATTTTTTTTTGCCAATGAAAAGACGCTCAGTAACACAAAAAATTTATTGCGAATTATAAATTTGCGAAAAAAAAGCAAGAAAAAATGAGCAGACTGAAATCTCAAGGGGACGGGGTTCACACACACATCACATCAGGGTTGGGGTGAATCGTTGAGTTTATTTTTTTTTTGAAGATGTGAACTGAGGATAAAATATATATTCCGGCCCCTTGTCGGCGCGACGACTTTGTTGACCGCCGTCGACTTCTTCTTCGCCTTAGGCGTGCATCTTGCAGTAGGGCTGACCGTTTTTCGCAAAGAAGCTCTCTCCTTCCAAATTCGAATGACAGCGCTAAAATGAAAATCGATTGCAAGGTTCTGGGGAAAAGGGAAGTCTTCTAGAAAAGTTGAAAATCATCAGCACTAAACCAACCGTGCAGTTGAAGCAGTTCGAATGGAAAGCGTTACCCAACGCTTCCACCCACCTATCACCAGCCTCAATCGGATACTTACACGCTACGCATTTTGTAGTAAACAGCTGATTCCAGTCTAAAATATTGTAGAATCATAACCATGTTGGAATGGTAGGATTAGGTTGAAATTTAGCAGTTAAGCCTTACCCATTTCGCAATAGGCCATTCCATTTTCCAGATAGAACGCAGTGTTTCCGAAAGGCTTATGGCAGTGAGCGCATACGAAGCAAGTTGGGTGCCATTTCTTCTGCATAGCGTTCAGACAGTCCTAAATTAAGATAAAATTTGACACCTATATAAGCTCAATGAGAACTTGATAATTACAATAAACATAAACAACAATATTTGAAGATTGTAATGAAAGCCTAATCATATTTCGAAAGCGTTATGGGAAGGGCAAAAATATAATATTCGATAAAAACCGAAGTTTTTGTATGGGAACAAGAAAATGAAATTTCATATGTATTTAATCGTTATTGATCTTCAAATTATCACTTTTTACGATACGGTGTGTACAGAACAACTGTTCCTCATCATACTAGGTTTTATCGTTTCTCCGCAGGCTTTATCGGTCAAGTATTTATTAATAGCGTTGTGCATTTTCTCGCAAGTGGGTAAGTACTATGCTTACTGGAAGTGATTCCTCCAAGCAGAGCTTACAGCTTAAAGACATACTTAGGAACAAAACAGATACCTTTTTCAGTCAAGCTCACACCCGAGAAATGCTTTGTTAAGCTAATTCTTTGACTACGCCTTCACTCATTTCAAGACTACCGAACAGGAACTTCTTATTTACACGAAATTGCATTAGGATTAAATAATATGTAAGAACATTTCAAAACCCGTCTATTGTGAAAGTATAGAAAAACAAATGAATATAAGTGACGTCGTCCCATAGATGTTTGAAAAATTGCTAAAGATAGAAGCAGAGCTACTATTTCCATAATTCTCGTCTCGAAATGTATTGCTTCCGTACCCTAAAGGAACAGAGAAATCCAGGCTTATAGAGCAGCGACCAGATGATGTCCAGCAGCAATAATGAATTTCTGATAATTACATCATCAATGTTGTCTGAAGACAATTTTGAACAAGTAAACCCCTTTGGGTAAAAAGGTAAAATGTTATTAGCACCTAAGTAAGGAGAATGTTTTGGCAAACTCTCCTTGCTCTCCACTATCAGCAATATACACTAATTTGGAGGTACTGCATACCTCAAGCAATCAAGTCAGAGCTGAAAAGCCTTAGCACTTGATAAGTACATTCCTGATTCGCTTAGCGGCAATTTCTACTACTTTAATTCTTCTTCGGGTTCCAAAATTCCTTTAACAAAAAATGATTCCGCATAGCTCCTTGTCATATTTCGATGGACAAAGCCACTTCTTCTGCAAAGTAGAACTCACAGAGATGATTGGTTTCTGGCATTTAGCACAACGAGGAGCAATGTGAGCTTCGAAACATCCTTCGCAGAATTTCAAGCCATTCTCTTCGACGAATCCACATTCGAGAAGGCGACGTCCGCAACCTTCGTAAGCGCATACAAAATGTTCAGGGCACCATGCGAGTCCGGTGGCAAGGACATAGGCGCCTCTGAAATTCACGGGAATGAATCGGGAGGAGAAACGAAAAATGCAGATTGGCGTTGAGTCTCCAACATGAAATGTGTTCACGAATGAGAAGTCACCGGAAGAGGCCAAAAGAGGGTTACAGGAAATTTCACTTCAATACAAACTCTCTTTA